GGACCACCCACCCATCTCAAAAATTTTAACCCAGAATTATTCCTGTTTAAAGGAAACATAGGGACAAAAATGGAGCAGAGACAGAAGGAAAGGCCATCCAGAGGCTGCCCCACCTTGGGATCCTTCCCATCTGGAGACACCAAACCCAGACACTATTGCTGTTGCCAATAAGTGCTCTCAGACAGGAGCCTAGTATAGCTGTCCTTTGTCAGCACCTGACTAAGACAAATGCAGATAGTCATAGACAATCATAAGAGTAAGCCCAGGAACCCTAATAGAAGAGTTAGAAAAGGAACTTAAGGAGATGAAGGGGATTATTACTCCATGGGAAGAATAACAATATCAACCAACCAGACCTCTCAGAGCTTGCAGGGACTAAACCACCAACCAAAGAATATACATGGGTGGGTCCATGGCTCCTGTTAGATGTAGCAGAGGATTGCCTTATCTGGCATCAATGGGAGGGGAGGCTGTTGGTCCTGTTGAGGCTTGTTACCCCAGTGTAGAGGTATGCTAGAAGGCTGAGGTGGGAGTGGGTGGGTGGGTGGAGGAGCATCCTCTTAGAGGCAAAGAGGCGGGGAGGGGGATAGAATGGGGCTTTGTGGAGGGAAGACTGGGAAGTAGGACAACATTAGATATGTAAATAAATAAAATAACCAATTAATAAAGAAGAGTATTTTCTCAGTCATTAGACTTCTGCTTTGTCTTATCCACAGTGTCCTTTTCCATGTAGAATCTTCTCAATTTTCCAAGAATCTTCTCAGTTTTCATTCATAGTTGATCTTACTGCCAGTCTTATTTGTGTTCTGTTAAGAAACTTACGTACTGTGCCAAAGCATTCAATGCTATTCCTCACTTTCTATTTTAATAGGTCTAGTGTATCTGGTTTTATGTTGAGGTCTTCGATCCACTTGGACTCTAGTCTTGTGCAGGGAGATAAATATGGTTCTGTTTGCACTCTTCTACATGTAGAGATCCAGTTTGAGCTGCATTATTTGTTGATGATCTTTCATTTCCTGCAGTGTGTCTTTCTAGCTTCTTTATGAAAAATCAGTTTCCATATGTGTGTAAACTTATGTCTCAGTCTTCATTTTATTCCCCTGATTAATGTGTCTGTTTTTATGCCAACACTATGCATTTTGATTTCTATAACTACTTGGTGTAGTTTGAAATCAGGGATGGTGATAACTCCAGAAGTTCCTTTATTGTTCTGAAGTGTTTCAACTCAGAATTGTTCTCTCAAGATCTTGGAATGTTGATGTTTTAATCTGTAGATTGCTTTCGATAGGATGACTATATTTTACTATATTAATCCTACTGATCCAGAAGCATGGGAGTTCTTTCTATCTTCTTTAAAAATTACTAATAATTGAATTAAGAGTAATTCAATTATTAATTATTAATTGATTAATTTTACATCCCAACTGGCACTTTCCCTTTGTCCTCTCCTCTAAGTCCCTACTCCCTTCTCCCCTGCTATCCACACCTTTTCCACTTCTCTTTAGAAAAGGGTCAGCACAATGGATATCAATCAGCCATGGCATATCAAATTGGAGTAAGTAGGTACTACTTCTTCCATTAAGGTTAGATAGACAGGGTAACCAAGTAGGTGGAAAGAGTCCCAAAGTCTGGCAACAGAGTCAGAATCAACTCCTGCTCCCACTGTTAGGAGTTCCACAAGAAGACCAAGTTACACAATTGCAACATATGTGTAGAAGGCCTAGGTCAGTCCCATGCAGACTCAATTACAGGCACTATAAGCATGACTGGGCTCAGGTTGGTTGAGTATGTGAATTTTCTTGTGGTGTCCTTGACCCCTCTGGCTCCTACAATCCTTCCTCCCTCTTTTTGGTGGGATTATCTGAACTCCATCCAATGTTTGGTGGTAAGTCTCTGCATCTGTTTCCATCAACTGCTAGGTGAAGCTTCTCTGATGTCAACCAATGAGTACAGCAGAATATCATTAGGAATCAGTTCATGGGTGTTTTTTGCCATCCATGTTTGGTTCTATTGTGGGTATCTAGGCTATCCAACCTCTGGCTCCTGGCCATGTGTGCAGTATCAGGGGGTGGGTTCCCTCTCACAGCATGGGTCTCAAGCTGAACCAGTCATTGCTTGGCCACTTTAAAAATTTATGTGCCTCGATCAGACCACAGTGAAGGAAATTACAGGTCTTGGTAAGTGGATTATTTAAATGTAAAAGTTGAGCTTTAGGGTGAGGCTTGGTTTTATGGATAAATACAGAAATTAGTTTCCAGTCTGTGTCTATGAACATAAACAAATCCCAATACTTCTATGAAATTCTGTCTTTGTCTCTTCTTTCTCTCCTTGCATCTTTGATTTCTCCTAGAAGACCCTAGATTGGTCTTTGGATGTGAATTGGGGGGTTCTCCCAAGAGGGAGAAGCTTTCCAGGCAGAAAGACTTTATGTGATGATTTGTATATACTTAGCTCAGGGAGTGGCACTATTAGAAGGTGTGGCCTGGTTGGAGTATGTGTGGCCTTGTTGGATTAGGCATGGCACCTTGGGTGTGGGCTTTAAGACCCACATCCCAGCTGTCTGGAAGTCAGTATTCTTCTAGAAGCCTTCAGATGAAGCCTTCTTAGCATTTCCTCCACCATGCCTGCCAGGATGCCATGTTCCCGCCTTGATGATAATGGACTGAACCTCTGAACCTGTAAGCTAGTCCCAATTAAATGTTGTCCTTATAAGAGTTGCTTTGGGCATGGTTTCTGTTCACAGCAGTAAAACCCTAAGACACTTTACTTGTATTTAAGTAGATCTTCTTTTTCCCTGGCACTGACTCTTGTCTTTTCCTTCCCCTTCATTTGCTTTTGTGATCTCCATTCTTTATGATTCAGGACCACCCAGAACTTTGAAGCATGCTCGTGTTCCTTTATCCCAAATGCTCCCAGATCCTGTCTTGTGTTAGCTGATGACTGACCTCTGCTCTGATTCAAATGGAACCAGAAGAGGCAGGTGATGAACTTGCCTGGAAGGCCTGTCAGAAGTCAAGATGAAACCAGTGTTTTGATGATGCTGTTTTACTTACTCTTCACAATGTCTGTGGTGGACATCAGAGTGTCAGAGTGTCTCTGAGCTTAGGATCTTGGAAATGAGAAAAGTGAAACCCAGGATAAATGTCCTTGAGCAGTACCCTGGATCTGAGGGTTCAGCTGTGTGGGAGTGTGGATACCAGCACATGTGATGACCACAACAAACAGAGAGGGACACTGAATTGGAGAACAGGAAACTTCCTCTGTAATTTCACTGTGGAGGAGGAGGATTTGACAGTTTGAAACAATATCCTAGTTAGCATTGACTGTTAGATTGGTAAGCACCAAATTTACATTGTGGGAGAAATGTCTCAACTTAGTAACTGTCATTATTGGGTTGGGCTGTGGACATGAGGGATATCTTAATTGATGTAGGAGACCCCAGGATACTGTGTGGAGTGCCATCCATAGGCAGAGTTTCCTTGATTGTAAAAGAGAGCTAGCTAAGCCTGAGCCAAGTAATGAGCCAGTGAGTGAGCCTACACGCAGCAAGTTTTCTGATTTGGTTTCTTTCAGTGTTACAAAATGGTCCAGATCCATAAAGGAAATGGCCACTTGATCCTCTCCTCAGCTTTTTTGTTCAGGATGGTTTTTAATCACAAGACAAAGAAATCTAGAACAGTGAGTAGGGAATAGCAGTGAACACATCTGTTTGAATCAGTATTCTTTGTGCTCAAGAGCAGACCCACTCAGACCCCGGTGGCCAAAGAGAAGGAAGGATTTAGACACCAGAAATGGGCCAGAAAGTGCATGTGCAGCCCCTATGTTACTGTCTACTTTTGTGAGTCTGAAAAGAGTTGTCTCCTACAGGAATGTTCATCCTCTGGTGCACATTACTTCAATTTTACTGCAGGGATTTCTAGAATCTGGAACTCTGCCTAGACTTACCTTACCTTAGATGGAAATAGGAGTTCTTCAGAGCAGAGTAAGCAGGATGATAGGCCTCTTATTCCCCCCCCTGTGCTGAAGGGATCAAGGGGAGGTCACATTTGCTTTGTTGACCACCCCTAATGTAGTTCTGTAGTGACATTGCAGTTTTCCCTATGATCTCCGGGGTGTGAAATCAGGACATACACCCAACACTCAGAAAATTGTTTCCTTGAGCCATAATCTTGCTTTAGAGACTGGTTTCCATTCCTATCTGTACTAATCTGGAGCTCCCGCTCTAGACTCTGCTATGACTTACTGTCTGCTTCTTGTGTCTGAGAGTACCTTTCCAAACTTAGGAACTTGAACATTCTCTGTCTTCTGGCATCTCTAAAGGAAAGACAAGATTATTACTGGGCATTCACCCAGACAATGGGTGAATATTTTTCCAGGAAGACCAGAGATGACATGGGCCTACCCAGCACGCACACAGTTTAGCCAACACATAATGCTGGAAGGTTGCCTTGAAACTATCCATAGAAAGAAAGAGCCCACAGTCCTTTCCAGGACACAGAGGTCACCTCTTCCCAAGAAGAAGGACATAAAAATCCTCACACAACTGCCACTTGGCCACTCTTCGGGATCTGGAACTTGACTGGTGACATTAGTGATAAAGGATTTATCTTTATTCTTAGGCTCACTCAGCTGGTCCCTATATAACTTTCACAGACATCTCTGCAGGGAGTGAAGAAATTCCACCTCCCCAAAGCACTTAGAACACAGGGAAGACTGGGTTCTCAGCTGGGTCTTTGTGTCTCTATGGCAGGATGGAATGTTTGTCTTTGAAGGTTTAAGACCCAAGGACAGGAGACAGCAGATGTCTGCTCTGGGATGAGCTGTTGTTCTCTTAGGGCGTGGGGATGCTTATCAGCCTTGTTGTCTCAACCTGTTGCTTGGAGGAGAAATATAAAGGGAAGTTGAGAGGGATGTGGGGCAGGACTCAGAGTGGAAGGGACAGAACAGTGTCGTGGACACAGACCCTCCCCCCACAGCCTCTTATATTCTGGAAGTGCTCCTGCCTGAGAGGACACTCAGTTCAGAGGAAAAAGGACACGAGAGACTGGTGCCCTGTTGGAGGTGAAGCTGCTTTTCTCAGAGGCAAGACAGCACAGTGAGAAGAGAGATGGAGGTGTTTGTTTTGCTTTTTTGCCAGGGGTTTGCCCCATGGCAGGGGGTTCTGCTCACAGGTAAGGGTACTCACTCTGACTGTAGGGGTGGAGAGGAACACAGAGGTGTGCTGGAGTTTCCTAAAGAGGACAGAATCATGAGATGAGACTTATGGATTCTGTTTGCCTTCGAGGTACAGTGAGGGACAGAGGCTTAGCAGTCAGAATCTCTTAGCAGTTAGGAGGGTGAAAAACTGTAAGCACCCCACATTCACAGTCAAATAAACTGTCTTCTGTATTCTAAAGACTGATGTTCTCAATCATGGGAAGTGACTCTCCAAATAGAAACCAAACAGGGGTGGTGGCAATATGGCTTAGTGTGTGGAGATCTGACAAGTTGAACTCAATCCTTAGTTCTCACATGGTAGATGAAGAGAATAAAATCCTGTTGGGTCTTTGCCCTCCACACAGATGTTGTGGCATGCACAGGCACATGCTTACACTGAGATATGGAACTCCATACAGGTTTGCAGCATACACCTTCACAGGGCACCCTGAGACACCTGCCTTCAGAAATACACATCTAGCATACATAAGTAAATCTTAAATCACTTAAATTACACTTGACTATAATTATAGTCATTAGCTCCAAGCCTGGGAACTATGTAGATAAACCATGGGGACACACTTCCTTGCTTGTTTCCTTCCTTTCCTTTCCTTTCCTTTCCTTTCCTTTCCTTTCCTTTCCTTTCCTTTCCTTTCCTTTTCTTTTCTTTTTCTATTAGCATTTGCAACTTTTCAGGAACAGAAGCTTCCAAAACCTCAGATTAATCCCTGTCCTCACAGAGTCTTGATTCTAGTGAACAAGAAATCTGGGGATCAGGAAGATAATGTGAAGATGTGATTTGTTGCATAAAAGGAACAGAAACTAAAAGTCAGAAACTGAGGACCCTCTAGGAGAGGTGGTCAGAGAGGTATCCTCCCACCAAATATGGAAATACTGCATAGAAAGCCAGGCAGACAACTGAGCAGAGAATTGCATGGAGAGTTGACAACACAGTGAGAGACTCTGAGGGAATGGAGGTCATGTTGTTCACCTTCATTAAGAAGGGTCCACACACCCCTCACCAACACTTAAGCCAAGTGCTGATCACAGTTGCTCAATATTGATGGTTTCTCTCTCTTTCCTCCTTAGCCTCCCTTTTAACCTGCTGGCACCTGTCTACCACGTCTGAAGTCACCATTGAATTAGTGCCACCACAAGTGGTCAAAGGGGAAGATGTTCTTTTCCTTGTCCATAATCTGCCAGAGAATCTTACAGCCTTTGCTTGGTTTAAAGGCAGGACAAATATGAAACGAGGAATTGCACTGTATGCATTGGCCTCTGACATACATATACACAGTGATAGAGAGACACTGTATAGCAATGGATCCCTGATAATACACAATGTCACCCGGAAGGACAGAGATTATTATACTCTACGAACCTTCAATAGACATGCAAAAACTGTATCATCAACAACCACATTTCTCCATGTGAACCGTAAGTGATTCTTTGTGAACTCTGGGTGCTGGGTGGGATTCTTTCCACTAGACACACAGAGGAGTGCCTGGCCTGGCCTGTGGCTACCTTCACTCTATGTTGTATTTTCATTTTGTGGCTTGAGCATTTGATGCTTGACATACATGTTGGAGAATAATGACAGTAGATCAGAATCCTTCATTTGACTTCACCTTGCAGGCAAGTGAATATGTGCTGAATAACTCAGCCAAGGATATTACCATTTGTCTAGACTCTTGGAGTTCTTAGTAGGAATGTATCCTTGAGAGAGACCCTGAGAGAATCAATGTTGGTCATGATTGAGAAAAAATGGGATCCTCACAGAAGTGAGCACCAGGAAGCCCTAGTTCAAGACTCCTGTTCCAGACTCAACTCCTAATGACCTTGAGAAGCATTTTATAGAGATTGAGTCTTGACTTCCTATTGGCAGGTAACAGTGCTTTTTAGTAGTCAAAGTCTTGCACTTTGTCTTGCACAAGGCTTGTGCATTGTCCTGAGAGCCATCATTAGGCTAGGTCCACTGGACATCTTCTTCAGTGACTCTGCAGAAATAGCCACTGACATGATATGTTTATGAGACTTCCATGAAGTTCATAGATGCCAAGGAGAAGGATAGAACTATTCACAGAACCTTCTGAGTAGTTTTTGTCATTTCATATCTAGCTCACAGAATTCTGTCTTACAGGCAAATGGGAAGAGACTAAGCTGATGTTGACAGCTCCCCAGATGTGGGCTCCATTTATCCTAGTGGTCAGAAGTTGCAGCATCAGGACACTAATCAACACCCAGAAATGCATTTGCCTGAACCAGGAATTTACCTAGAAGCTGAGTTCCACCCATAGTTCTATCAACATGGAAATCACTGATCAAGCACCTCAGACTTACTGTCTTCTTAATTTGTCTGCTGCACTGCCAAGGGATCATGTTCCATCGCCCATTTCATGTATTTCCCTTGGGAAATATAGGATAGCTATGGAGAATCCATTAGACAGAGATCAGAGATCCAAGGCATCTCAGAAAGATCAGGGAACCCATGGGCGGACCCATTCCACAGCTCAGAAAGTACAGTGATGGGGAACATTCTCTTGAAATCTTGCATGGGAAGATAGAGCTCAGCCTTTCCCCTCCAAGAATCAGGTCACATCCACCTGCCCACCCAGGGTATGAGATGCCTGACACACTCTGAGGCTTTGTCCTGGGTTATAACCCTAACTGGGGACTCCTGTGAGAATAGATGTGTCCCCTTTCCCACACGTAATTCACATGGTCCCTTTGGAACCTCACAGGTATCCCTGTCAAATTTCATTTTTCAAGTGCATTGAGAACATGGGGCAGACTGGGTGCACAGCTGAGTTTTTGTGTTACTCTGCTCTGCAGAGTTTCCCTTTTTGGTGCTGACTGACCAAGGTCAGCATACAGCATAGATCAGCCCAAGGATCATCTATTATCTCAGGTCACAGGGATGGCCATCAGCCTTGGTGCTCACTCTGTGTTCTAGAGAACTGAAACAAAAGGATAGGAGAGGGACATGGCACAACACCAAGAGTGGAGGGAACAGAGCTTTGTTTTTATGTTGATACACCCTCAGATGTTCCTGCCTCAGGGGAGGCTCAGCTCAGAGTGGAAGCACAGGAGAACTGGGGAGCTGTGGTAGATAGAGCAGACATGCCACAGAAGAAGGATAGATCAGGCCACAGAGACCAGGGCAACATCTTTTGTACCCTCTGCAAAGGGTGACCACTTGTCAGGGGCTCATGCTCACAGGTGAGAGGACAGGACTTACCTACTTTCAGGAGTTTCCTGAGAGGCAGAAAGAGCTGAGAGGAGTCTCAGAGTTTGGAGGAGAGAACATACAGAGTCTTACCACCAGCAGGAGACTCTTGATGAATAAAAAAAGTAGGGGGAGGGGGAGGTTGTTCTTACTCAATGTTGAGCAGCATGGCCACAGTAAGACTGTTGTTCTCAGCTATGACATCCCAAATAAGAAACCAAGATGGTGTTGATCAGTGACATGATTGAATGAATATATTATTTTGTTTCATATTCTGATAAGCTAAGACCAATGAACAGAAGTCTTCTGACCTTCACATAAGTTGTGTTCTGCACCCACCCATACTGAAGTAGTCCTTGCATTCAATCTCACACAAAATATAATTTGTAAATTATTGTAAAAATCAGAGCAAATGCAATGATTTATCAAATCTATAATTTTCTTAAGGAAATCCATGACCACACAAAGTCCTGCACATTCATTTATTCATTCATTTAATCCTCATTTATCGTTCACAGGTATCTAAGTTTTTTTAGATAACATTTCTTTTTTAATAATCTATTATCAAATTTATTTCTATATCATTTTACTGTACATGTGATGTTATGAGCTTTTAAAAAATATATATATATATATTTTTTATTGGATATTTTATTTATATTTCATATGTTATCCCCTTTACCCATTTCCTCCCACCCGGAAACCCCCTATCCCATCCCCCTCCTCCTGTTTCTTTGAGGATGTGCTCCTACCCACCCACCCACTCCTACCTCCTCACCCTCGATTCCCCCACACTGGGACATCCTACCTTCACGGGACTAAGGATCTCCTCTTTAACATTTCTTAAAAATATAAGACAAATCATGGTTCTTATGATGCCCAGTATTAATGGACTGGAAAATAGATCAGTAAAGAAAGCTGGGTGTTGTCTGGAACTACAAGAGGGACCCAACAACAACAACAACAACAATAACAACTCTACCACCATTACTATCACCACGAAGTTGTCAGAGAGTAAATCTCAGTGTCCGTAGGGGAAGAGATGGGGAGGCTTCACCTCAATGCCAATGTACATTGAGTGTGAGCAGGGAATCTGAGGGCAGTTAGCCAGGGCATGTTGACATCTGAAGAGAGAGCAACAAACCGTGAAAAATATAAGTGCAGGGGCACAGAGTTGTATGGGGAGACACATAACTAGAGTGAGTAATGACCATACCTGCCCAGGACAATGTCTCATCTTAAAAAAAAAAAAACTGATGGTCTCAATTTATTGGCTCTTTCTCTTCCCTTCTAGTCTTCCTTTGGAACTGTGGGCGCTTTGTTACCTCTGCCCAGCCCAGTATTGAATCACTGCCCTCCGTCATTACTGAAGGGCAACAAGTTCTTCTACATGTTCACAATATCCCAGAGAATCTTCAAGGATTTTTGTGGTTCAAGGGGATGACTGTGTTCAGGCACCTTGAGATTGGCCGATACATAATAGGCAGGAAGTCAGCTGTGTTTGGTCCTGCACACAGTGGTAGAGAGAAATTGTACAGTGATGGAACACTGATGATTGAAAATGTCACTCAGGAAGATGCTGGATTGTACACCCTACGAGTACTGGGTACAGATATGAAGAGTGAAGAAGCACATGTAGAAATCCAAGTTAACAGTAAGTGATTTCCTGGGATCATTCATTGCTGGGTGGGGCCTAGACACACAGGACTGTCATGCCTGGCCTGTGCCTCCCTTTTCTCTGCACTGTGCTCCCATGTGCAGGTTTGAGCACTTAGTGCCAGACAAACATGGTAGAGACAAATGACTGCAGATCAGACTGCATCTTCTGACTCCACCTTCATCAAGAAAGATCTTGATAGTAACTCAGTCTAAAATGTCAGGCTCTTCCCAGTCTCTTGGGGCTCTAAACTAGGGAGCTCACACCCTGTCATCTTTCAAAGGCTGGAGTAAAGTGACCCCGGGGGAGCATATTTCCAGTCCTTTATTCTTAATTTCTCTTAAAGCTGATAGGGTACAATGGATTTTGGCTGTCTATGTGAAACTGCAGTATTTATTAGCTCCAAATTGAGATTGTCATAAACAAAATTCAGGAACTGGTGCAGAAACCATGGAGAAGTGCTGCTTATTAGCTTTCTCTTCATGGCTCGTACAACCTGCTCTTATATGATTCAGGATCCGAGGCCAGGAGTGGAACTGCTTGCAGTGGTCTAGACATGCCCCACCCATCAATCTCCAATTAAGAAGTATACAGGCTTGCCCACAGGCTAATGTGTTGGTGACATTTTCAACAGAGGCCTTGTCTTTCGAAAGGCCTCTACATTGTGTCAAGTTGGCATAAAACTAGCTACCCTAATACTTCAATGTTTCCCAAGATCTGAGCCTGTCCTGAAGATCAGGTTGCTCCCTACCCTCACTCAACTCCAATCCAGTGGACTGCCAGCAAAAGCAGCAACACATAGAAGGTGAAGTCAAGGCTTTCCTGGAGGTAGAGAGAAAAACTAAGAAATAAAACAAATAAACAAGCAAGCAAGCAAGCAAACAAACAAACAAATGTAAAACAAGCAAAGAAAGAAAGAAAATACAAAGTAAAAATCCAGGACCTGTAGAATTCAGGGGAGGCGTCATCTCCAACCCAAGTATGCATGAGTGTGTGCAGTGTCTAAGTGAGTGCAGCAAAGAAGCAGCCACGTAGACACCTCTATGTAGAGGAAATTACACTTTCAGGGGTGCTGAGGGAAGGGAGGAGGACATGTTGCTCATTTTCACTAAGTGGTATAGATACATCCATACTTGAGTCTCTAGGCTGGGTTAAGAATCCATCTGCTCAGGACAAAGACCACCATTTTTTCACCAAGCAGAGTGGTCTGCATGTGACTGCTTTTTCTCTTTTCCCTTCCAGACCCCCATTTTCAGTGCTGTAACCCTGCCACCTCCTCCAAACTCATGGTTGAAGCAGTGCCCCGATATGCAGCTGAAGGGAAAAGTGTTCTTCTCCTTGTTCGTAATCTGCCAGAGGAGCTGATATCCTTTGCCTGGTACAACTCGATGTACAGGGTCCCAGCCTTTAAAATTGTAGACTACCATGTAATCTGGAATATCACCACCTGGGTGCATGAATATGGAAGAAGAGGGATGGTGTACGCTAATGGATCCCTGCTGCTCCAGAACGTTGTTGAAGAAGATGCAAGAATGTACACACTAGAAACTTTAAACGTAAACTACACAGTTGAAAGAGCACATGTGCAGTTTTATGTAAACAGTAAGTGACTCTCAATGGTGTCTGGCTGCTGGGTATGACTTATCCTACTTCATATACTAGACTGCTAGGATTGGGTTGTGCCTGCTCTCTCCCTTGCTGCATTGCATCTATTTCCTGTAGGACACACATTGGGTAGACAAACTGCAGTCAATCAGAATCCCTCACCAGTCTCTACCTCCACAGAGAAGTATATGTGTGGGATAACTCAGCATGAGGAAGTCAACCTCAGTACAAACTCTTGGGGTTCTCACTATGCACATGGCCCTAAGAGAGACCTTGTGGAAGTCAGGCAGGTGCTGGATGAGGGAGCTATGAGGAGGTCCTCACAGAGAGCACCAGGAAACCCTGTTTCCAAAATTTTGCCTCTGTCTGGAGTCTAGGTCACATCAGGGAACTTTTCATCAATGCTCGGTGTTGATATCCTTTTTTTTTTTGTTTTTTTGGTGTTTTGAGAGAGGGTTTCTCTGTGTAGCCCTGGCTGTCCTGGAGCTCACTCTGTAGACGAGGCTGGCCTCAAACTTAGAAATCCGCCTGCTTCTACCTCCTAAGTGCTGGGATTAAAGACTTATGCCACCACTGCCCAGCCTTGATTTCCTTTCAGAACTGACAGAGAACAAGGCTTTACTGACTGTCCAACTCCCATAGAGTGTGGGCCTAGCTGTGTACTGCCATGATAGCTGGGGTCATGTAGGTTACCTGTGCATTGTCTTCAACTGAGTCTCAGCGGACAGGTGTCAGGACTACATGTCATGAGTCCAGCCCGGACAATTCTCTTCTGCAGTTATGTAGTGATAGATACTGATGATTTGAGCAGCTCCTCCATCCCAAAGTCAGGCCATTGCTCATAGCTAAGCTTAACTCCCACGCACAGCAGTGATCATTTGCCACACGCTTTGTTATACAGAAACTGAGCCATACAAAGCACAGTGGGTGAATCAGGGTCACATAGACCATTGGTGTCTGATCAAAAGCACAAGATACACCTATAGTCACAGCTCTAACTTCTCTTCCTTGGAGGCTTTTAACGTATTCACTAAAGGGGGCTGGTGGAGCTCTATGAAGGACTATTGTCATTTGGACCCCTCCCGTGCTTTTTTACAGAGGCTGTGACACAACCCTTTGTGCAAATCACTGACACCACAGTCAATGCACACAGATCTGTGACCTTCACCTGTGTTACACCTGACATGGCAATCTCTATCCTTTGGTTCTTCAATAGCCACACTCTGAAGCCTACAGAAAGGATGACACTGTCCTCAACAAAGTGTGGACTCCGAATTGATGATGTCAGAAGTGAAGATGCTGGAGAGTACCAGTGTGTGGTCACTAACCGAGCCGGTGATGCAAAGGCCAGTCACCCGGTCCGGTGGCCATGATGAATGAGTGACCCCTCCTTCATCCTACATCCCATTTCTTTATTGATGGGATAAGACACGGAGCAAAGTTATGTGGCAAAAATGATCAGTTACTACTCAAGTGTAGCCAGCATGGTGAGACATGCTTGTGATCCTGGAATACACATGTGTATAAGAATGAGGTGGATTTAAAGTGAGAGTGTCTCCAAAACAAAGCACAGATATCAATACAACAAGCAGGATCACAAAGGCATTAGCAGCTTAGTTTGTGGATCAAATATATAACCAACTCTCAGAATCCATAAGACCCTATTTCAGGATCCCTCAAACCTTGGATACTTTAAGTCTGCTCTGATAAATATATCCTTTATATGCTAAAATACATTCCATGTTTAACTAATTCAGTTTACATTAATGGTTCCTAGAGACCAGTCATCCATGTGAAGCAATGGAGAATGACAGAGGAAGGAAACACAGTGCCTAACTGTGCACATAACTGGTTTCTAAATAACTTTGATCCTCAACTTGTTTGATTCACAGATATAAAATCCATGGTGTAAATCCTGATTCTACGGTTTCTAGTCTGAGAGTTGTGTTCACAGTGGGACCTTATGTGATTCTTTTTCCTGTTAATATGTTTCTTTCTTTTTTTGTTCTTTTATCCATTACACTTCTACCTCTGTTTCCCCTCCCTCCCATCCTTCCCAGCATCCCTTTCCCTCAGATTCATTCCTTTTTAATTTCCTTAAAAAAAAAAAAAGAACAAGCCTCTCAGGGATATCAACCAAACAAAGCATAACAAGTTACAGTACCATTAGTCACAGAGCCTCATATCAGGGCTGGAGGAAGAGGGTCCCCAAACAGGAAAAAGAATCAAGGACATTCCCCACTACCATTGGCTCTCTTGTTCTGCCACAAGAACACCTAGCTGCATAACTATAACATACACACAGAATACCTAGCTCCAAATCATACAGACTCTGTGATTATTGATTCAGTCTCTGTTAGCCCCTGTAAGCTCTGTTTAGTTGTTTCTGTGGGCAATGCTTTTCTGGTGTCCTTGAACACTCTGGTTCCTACAACTCCTCTTCCTCCTCCTCCTGTTCCTCCCCCCTCCTCCTGCTCCTCCTCCTCTGTGGGGTTCCCATGCTCCATGAAGTGTTAGCTGTGTGCCTGCACCTGCCCCATAGTTGATGGATGATGCCTCTCTGATGACCATTAAGCCGGAGAGCGATCTATGACTCTTAAAGAATAACATTAATAATCATTTCATTAATCTTTCCATTCTAGTTTGTTTATTTCCTGAATCTTTGGGCTGTTCAGTCTCTGATTCCTAGCTGTCTAGGCTGTGTCAGACATTGGCTCCCTCTCATGGTATTGGCTTCAATTTGGACCAGTCATCGCTTGGCCACTCCCACAAATGCATTATCATTATTACCCCAGCACATTTTGCAGACAGGACAGATTGTGGGTCAAAGGTTTTGTGTCTGTTTGGCTTGGTGTCTCAGTCCCAATGCTGGAAACCTTGCCTGGATACACAGATGGCAAATTCATGCTCCATGTTCCTCATTACTGGTCATCTTCTCTAGGGTCATTTTCAAAGTTTTCTGGGAGTTTCCACTGCACTAGGTTTCCACATTGCTCCTGAAATGCCCCCCAATTCCAATCCTCTCTTCCAGCATTTTATCCTTCCCTCCCTGTGTCCCTCCTGCTCTTTGCCTGATTCCCCCTGTTCCAATCCACACACACAATCTATTCTATTTCCCTTCCTGGGCAGATCCATGCACCACCCCTTGATTCTCCTTGTTACTTGGCCTCTCTATGCCTTTGACAAAACAGGACATCTGATTGTGGGCAGTATTAGTTCACAGAAGTAGAGCTCAGAAGGTTGTGTTTGTTCTTCATTCCCAGAAGGATCGTATTCCCCTCTTCTCTTCCCTGTCTCTCTTCCCACCCAGGTCCCTCCCTTGTTCCCTCCTCCTGTGATTGCTTTCTTCTCCTTCCCAGGTAGGATTGAGGCATCTTTACTTGGGCCCTTTGGCTTGTTAACCTTCTTGAATTCTGTGGACTGTATTCTGCATATTCTGCATATTCTGTACTTTTGTGGCTAATATACACTTAGTGAGTATACCATGCATGTCCTTTCGGGTCTGAGTTATCTCACTCAGGATGATATTTTCTAGTTCCATCCATTCGCCTGCAACACTCATGATGTCCTCAACACATTTTCTGTATCCATTCTTCAGTTGTGGAATATCTGGGTTGTTTCCAGCTTTGACTATCACAAATAAGGCTCCTATGAACATAGTGGAACACATAGCCCTGTGGCATGGTGGGGCATCTTTTGTGTATATTCCCAAGAGTGGTATACCTGTGTAGCTGCCTGCGGCCATGGATGAACTGGGTTCACCTGAAAGTGGGAATGGAAATGAAAAAGTGGGAGCAGAGAGGTGAGAGAAACATGAAGCCAAGACAAAGTTTTCTGATCAAGGCTTGAAGTTTAATATTCAGCTCTTCTAACTTAAAAGGAAAGCCTCACTGAACCCATTCTTGTTTCAGCCAGAGATGGGTGGAGGAACCCATCCTTTGTCACAGCTGGGGATGTCTCAAGGCAAGCTCAGAGGGCAGTCTATTCTTCTAAGTTCCTGTAGCAGGTTGTATGTGCAGCCAAGGTGGGTAACTCCACCTAGGTCCTATTATTTGGTCCATTGTGGTAAACAAGGTCTTTCAGGCCTGCTCAAGACTGGGGGTAGGGCACATAGCTGGGTCTTCAGGTAGATCTATTTCCAGTTTTCTGAGGAACCTCTAGATTGATTTTCATAGTGGTTGCACAAGTTTGCAATCCCACCAGCAATAGAGAAGTGTTTATCTTTCTCCACATCCTAGCCAACATGTGCTGTCACCTGAGTTTTTGATCTTAGCCATTCTGATTGGTGTAAGGTGGAATATCAGAGTCATTTTGATTTGCATTTCCCTGATGACTAAGGACTTCAAACATTTTTTAAGTGCTTCTCAGCCATTTGAGATCCCTCTGTTGTGAATTCCCTGTTTAGTTTTATACCCCATTTTTGATTGGGTTGTTTGATTTCTTGGTGGTTAGCTTCTTGAGTTCTTTATATATTTTGGATATTAGCTCTCTATGAGATGTGGTGTTACTGAAGATTTTTTTCCCAAACTGTAAGTTGCCAATTTGTTCTATTGACTGTGCCCTTTCCCTTACAGAAGCTTTTGAGTTTCATGAGGTTCAATTTATCACTTCTTGATCTTAGAGCCTGAGTCATTTGGAATTCTGTTTAGAAATTCCTCCCCCTCATCCCTGTGCCAATGAGTCAAGGCTTCCACTTTCTCTTCTATCAGGTTCAGTGTATCTGGTTTTATGTTGAGGTCCTTGATCCACTTGGACTTGAATTTTGTACAAGGTAATAAATATGGATCGATTTGCCCTATCCTACATATAGACTTCCAGTTAGACCATCACCATTTATTGAAGATCCTTTCTTTTTTTCACTGTATGTTTTTGGCTTCCTTGTCAAACATCAAATGTATATAGATGTATAGGCTTACTTCTGGGTCTTCAATTCTATTTCACTGATGAACTTGTCTGTCTCTGTACTAATATCATGCAGTTTTTATCACTATTCCTTTGTAGTACAGCTTGAGGTCAGGGATGATCATTCCTCTGGAAGTTTTTATTGTTGAGAATTGTTTTGGCTAACCTGTGTTTTTTGTTTTTCCATATGAAATTGATAATTGCTCTTTCCAAGTCTGTGAAGGATTGTGTTGGAATTTTGATGGAGATTGCATTGAATCTGTAGATTGCTTTTGGTAAGATGACCATTTTCACTATGTTAAACCTACTAATCCATGAGCATGGGAGATATTTCCATCTTCTGACTTCTTCAATTTCTTTCTTCAGGGATTTGAAATTCTTGTTGTACAGAACATTCACTTGCTTGGTAAGAGTTACATCAAGATATTTTATGCTATTTGTGACAACTTTGAAGGGTGTTGTTTCCATAACTTCTTTCTCAGCCTGTTTATCATTTATGAAAAGGATGGTTACTGATTTGTTTGAGTTAATTTTATATCCTGCCACTTTGCTGAAGTTGTTTACTTGCTGTAGTAGTTCTCTGGTGGAAGTTTGGGGTTTGTTTATGTATACTATCATATTATCTGCATATAGTCATACTTTGACTTCTTCCTTCCCTATTTGTATCCCTTTGCTATACTTCTGTTATCTAATTGCTCTAGCTAGAACTTCAAGTGCTATATTGAATAGATAGGGAGAGAGTGGACAACCTTGTCTTGTCCTGGTTTTAGTGGGATTACTTCTAGTTTCTCTTCATTTAATTTGATGTTGGGTGTTGGTTTGCAATTATTGCTTTTATTGTGTTTAGGTATGTGCCATGAAATCCTGATCTCTCTAGGACTTTAAATTTTTTTTTATTATCTTTAATTCTTTTTTACAAACCAGTAATTATCCATCTCCTGGTCTGCCCTCTGATAGTTCTTCATCCCATTCCTCCTCTTCCATCTCCAACTGGATGTTCCACCCCTACCCCAATCCACTCTTCAGGCCTTGTCACTCCCTGGGGACTGAAGTCTCTCAAGGTTTAGGTGCATCTTCTCTCACTTGAGGTCAGACCAGGAAATCCCCTCTGTATATATGTAGGAGGCCTCCTACCAGCTAGTGTAATCTGCCTGGTTGGTGGTTAAGTGTCTGAGAGATCTTGTGGCTACAGGTTAGTTGAGACTGCTGGTTTTCCTATGAGGTTACCCACACCTGTGTATTCGGTCACTGAGGACCTCCTGAATGTGGGGAAAAGCTGAAGGGCCATGAACGGATCTGTGTTGCATAGTGGATCCACCTGTCTGTCATGGTTCAGAGTGGCAGAAGTTCAACTGAGTTCATTCCTCCTGACACCAGGCGGGTGCTGGGCCATGAGAGACCGCCGGGGAGTCCCTGGGAGGGGAGTGAACTCAGCCTGATTCTGTGGGTGGCACAGAGCTCTTGAGTGGACCCAGAGGCCCGCGTCTCCATTCGGGGCTCCCAGACACCACTGGGAGGCCCAGACAAACAGAGATGGTGAGCATGCAAGCATTGCTCTGTGAGAAGCAGCCGGCCTGCCCACCGAGGGAGATGAGGAAGAAGAGAGAGCTCTGTCATCACACCTCACTGGCAATGCTCGCTTGTCATACTCACTTGGCTGGAACAGCTGCTTGTTTAAGCATTCCCGCCCCAGGGAGGAAACGCAGAGAAGTTTTCCACAATGGCAAGCCTCAATGACATGAGGAAGTCCGGGGTTCCAAGAGCTTTATTGACATGGCAGATGATAGATTGTCTGGATGTGCACTCCCTCCCTATAGCCAGGGCAGGCCTGACTTAAATAGGAAGGGAGAGGAGGAGGAGGGTCACTTAATTAGCTATGCCTTCTAATGGCCTTTAAGTATCTCATTAATATGGAAATCTCTTGAGGCTGAAGCCTGTAGTCACACCCTCTATCTGTAGCCCTACAAGGCGCAGATTAATGGGTATCTTTGCCATGTGTCAGGAGCCTGGATTCTGGGAGCGTGGCAGAATAGATGCCCATCCCTCACAGGCAATGGACACGTATTGGGTCTCCTGGCTACTTCCAGCCAGCTATTTTA